GCGAAGGCGCCGCTGCCTCTGATAGGCGGAGTTATCGAGGTTGTCAATGACGCGGTCCGGAAACTGCGTTCGCGTCCGCGCAGTAATCTCGTAAAAACTCGTTAATACGGTAAAAGCACAGAAAATGGCGGCGCGCGGCGAAATACAATTACTCATTAGTCGAATCCCATTGCGCGCGGCTCGTCCGCGACCGGAAACTCTCTCGGTTGCCGAATCAACCGTGACACGGAGGGCTTTGAAGTTGCTGGCTCGACGGTAATTAACCATAGAATGTCAGCCGACGAGGATTATTGGCAGTCCCGAATGCAGTTTCGAATTCAGTATCGTTTGTTCGCTCGTGCATTAATGCACTCTTCTGTAACTGTAACGCGCAAATAAGATTTACATCGCGCGCTACATCGATCGAACGATTTATGTTCAGATCAATTTGTGTGTTTACCGTTCAACAGGATTTAAATGAATTCTTCTGTCACGTCGGAATATAATATATGCAAACACACATATCTGTATATCGGCGCACACTGGCGTGTGTTGAAATCGATTTTAGCTTCACAGAATGTTCGCGGCGAACCCGATAGGGAAGATTGTTGTCCGTCAAGTGATCAGATTTAACGATAGTGCCGCATAATTAGATTCTATCCTGTAATGCCCGTTACCAATCAAGGCATTATCAGCGGCATGGTAATTACGCGGCTCGAAATTACCTATTCTCCACGGTGTCTGTCGTCATCTCCGTTGCGCCCTTATCGCGCGCGCGGTTTCCCACAGCGGGCGCAATGTTGGCGCTTTTCATTCTATCTCATCCCGTGAAACGTACCACACCTATACGAGCCCTCTTTCCGGCGAACAGCGGCTTCATTGTTGCGCGAACGTAAATCCCGGTAAATCCACCTGACCATCAGCAAACCGCGCCATGTCGCCGAATATAGGTCGTGCATGATGCGTGTGCAGCTTCCTGTTATCTGTGTGTAAATAGCGTGAACGCTCCGTCTAATAACGACGGAGGAAATGGAGCTTGTGCGAAGACAGTTGCGATTAAAAGCGCAACCGAGAGATTTTTTTAGGCTTCGGTCGGTTTTTTGTTTTTTATACACGTATTTCGATATTTATCTACCTACAACAGATCTCTTTTTTAAAATCTTCAAAAGCTATTTTATTTTCTAACATAAGATTGCACACAAATTTGCTGAAGAAAATAGTGCGCGTCTCTCTCAAAGCTAAATATTATTATTCTTTTGCCAAATGATATTTACGAATTTATGATCGACGGACTGTGTCTGTCGCCAATTTGGCAGAGATTCGGATAGACGGTGATCTTACGATTATCGACAGTTCGCCAAGAATGCGAGTGTGATGAGTATGTTAGTATTTTTAGTACGATCGTTCATAGAATTATTTGCAGTCACGGCCACTACGTTCGTCTTCCAGCAGCGCGCGCATCGTTAATGATCTCTCCAAGATTTGATCTGTCGTCATTATTGCGGGACTCGCGCAGCTGCAAAACGTTCCATTTTGTTGTGTTGTTATTGGCAAACCAAGAACATCGGAAAAACAAATCGCTATCATCAGTTTCATGTGTCATGTGTACGTGGAGACCATTTGATTCCTCCTAATTAACATCAATCTCTCAAAAACTGTCCGTTATAATCTATGTATATATATCAATTGATATATCGTCTCAAAATAAACAGCTCTGTCGGTTAAATAAACAGGAAATTGTCTGATGTGTCGATAGAGACTAAAGAGTGAACAGTACGTGAGATAAATAAATAGGTCAGTATCTCTGATTGTGTGCAATCTTACTTGAAACAATACAATTGCGTTCGGCAAGAATGCGCGTGTACGCGCATTCTATCGCAATTGGCGATGCAATTGCGCGCACTCGACGGGGATGAGACGTACCTATCTCTCTCGTCTTCCAGAGACATTCGGAGATTCGAATATCAGCGAGTAGCACGAAACGCGAATGCAATCGGCGAGGAGTCGGGTCGGGGCGCAGTTCAGCCTCGACTCGGTTAAGTACACTTTATTAAGCATGCCATCTGCACATTGCACCATCCACTTATATGGTAAATGGAATTACAAACGCATCCCTAGCTGCGGGATCCCAAGTTGCGGCTCACACCTTGCGTTCACAATGAGCGCACACACGTCGGGTTAACTGTTACAGCATCGTAATAGAATAATCGCGTGCGACACGTCTCTAATCGAGTCGACACAACGAGAGAGAGAGAGAGAGATAGATAGAGAGAGAGAGAGAGAGAGAGAGGGAAAGAGAAAAATAACACCGTGTCAAAGAAAGAAATTTGTCATTGTACGAATTACACAGTTTGTACAATTTCTCAACTAAGTGTATTTTGCGCAAAGGTATTTTGTAATATCAAAGGAGATTCTCTTGTTAGCGAAACATGCGTCGTATTACCATTTCAATCTAATTTTTTTGATACCATTGTGAGCGCGCTATGTATTCTGATGGAACGCCAATTCTCGTTTGAGCGTGAGTCACGATTTTCTGACGGATTTGATTGATCGCATTGTGGTTGCAGTCCACGTTGCAGAAAATCCACATAAAAGAGAAAGCGCGGACTGGCCCGGCTGCAATGATTTAGAGCGATGCTATCTGCGGGCGCGGGCGATTTTGCTGATAACAAACTTCCACTCGCTTTATTCGATCTCTCCGCGAAATCGATGAAGAATTTATCGGACGAGTAATCGCGGTCACGAAGCCCCGAAATTTCGCGGCGCCGCCGAATTTGATTCGGTTCAGTTTCTCGCGCGTATATCGAGATCGCCGAATTATTCGGCTGTGAGAGAAGCTGCCGTTTATCAAACGGAGATGTGTATGTGTGGGTGTGGGTGTGAGTGTGAATGTGGATGTGTGTGTGTTACCGGCCTATCGAAGACAGACTCGTTGATTTATTAAATTGCACCGGTGTCGAAGAGCGAGAGAAAGAGAGAGAGAGAGAGAAAAGGAAGAAGATCTATTATAACTGCGAACACCCCCGCGAGCGAGACATCGTTGTGCAGCATCTCTCGCTGGGTTCGAAGACAAAATTATTAAAGTTCGCCGTGTACAAGCATCTTCGATGTTTGTGCTCGTAGTCGACGACTATCAAGAGACGCGGTAGCGTCTCGACGCCAAGTACATAAAAGTATCCGCTAAATGAGTGTCACTGTCTGAATGAGTGTCACTGTCAAGACGCTGCCGTGTATTCTTATCTCGAGTTTTTACTCGGCGAATCTTTGACATAAAATATTTNTGGGTCCAGTGCTTGGCTACTTACGTTGATTGTCTCTTTTTTGTTTTTTATATAAAAAAAAAGTTTTTTAATATGGTTTGTATATTTTTTATGTACTTGGCGTTTGTTTTTTTCTTTTGTGAAGACATTTTTTAGAGTGTATGAGTTTCCGGTAAATACGGCCCTCGCTCGCCGAAGCTGATGAAAAGGGAGTTGTTTACTTGCAGCCTGCTGATTTTTGAAGTACAACGCGACGAATTGCGAGAATTCGCGAGCGAGAAACGTCCGCGTAAAAGGCTCCGTGTACACAAACCGGTTTTCGACTGGAAACTTCTTTTTATCGACGGATGGATGGATGGATAAATCCTGTCCGCGAAAAATGCAGCGCAATAATCTGCGATGATATCGTGAAAAATATAGTTTTTGTTACCATCTTGACGATTTCTTGTATAGACTTTTTATTCTCTTGTTTATTCTTGACTCGAAAATAATTTGTTTACGAGAAAAAAACCAAATCTGTTACCGATATCTTTTCCTAAGAATTCCCCAGCTTGGACGAAAAAAAAAAAAAGTGAATAGCTAGGTAAAACTTTGACAGATGTCTCTCTCAACTGATTACTTTAGCGTACTCTCGTAATTACTTCGATGTGAAATATAGCGCGATGCGATGTTTTGCGCGCAAGTAGATGCACTTCCCTACCCGTTGATTTCCCACGACGCATACGAAAATTGTGCCGGGAAAAATCGCTTGCCAACGTCCATCTTTCGCTCTCTGTTTTAGTCATAATTTCAAGCGAGAGTCTGTCTTCCCGTCTGTGCTAGCCCGCGTTGTGCAAATATCGTGTGTGCGGCGAGAGTCTGCCGCACACCGGTTCCGAAACAATAATTAATTAGCTGCCTCGCAAGGAAGCAAGACGCGGCGGGGAAGAACGATGATCGCAGGTGTTGCACATGCGTCGGTACAACAACGATCCGTAGAGACCGTACAAGCATTTCCGACGTTGCAAAGGTAAATTACAGATGCGGATGCTGTTTTCTGAAAAGGAGCTTGCGGCGAATAGAGACGGGAACAATTTCCCCGATCGCGGCTTCCTACGCAAGAATCAATAACGTCATTTCTCAATGTTAAAAGTGCCTTTTCTTACGTATCGTATCTGATATTAGATGTATGGAATATCGCGTTATCGATTTGGATACATTCTGAAGGGAGATTGCCAGAGAGAGAGAGAGAGAGACTGATACCATTCAAAAACTCTTCCTGTGGCAAAATAGGAGCGCTTCTCGTTAAGGAAGCCCGCGTGATCTTTGGCGAGAAGCCACTTCGAGATCTCCTATTTTCTTCACGACGCAGTCGTTGGTCGATCGATGTTGACGACCGGGCCAATCGACCATTAAGTATATCCCAAGTCGCGCGCAAAAAGAACACGGCGGGCAATCAATCTTCCATACGTCGAAGTCTTGTAGACGGTACGCTGCGTCTCTCATGGCGACGGGGAGGAAAACAGGGAGCGAGACGTCGGCGAAGAAACGTTGCGCGACGACCAAATCTTGGTCGTCGTCGTCGTCGTCGTCGTCGTCGTCGTCCTCGTCGCGGTAAAAAAGTCGTCAGTCCTTGACGATATAGAAGAGACGCTTTGGGCGGTCTAACGTGGTCTCGCGCGCTCGGTAATTCGCGACGAGTTCGGAAGCGACATCGATTTGTCTCTCGTTTCGTCAAACGTCGAGGCGTTTTCTAACCGGATTCTATATCTCTGACTTCAGGTAGCAGCGAAGAATCAAGAGCCGGTAGCGGTGATCTTGGAAAGCTGGGAGTGAAGAAACCGAGACCGAAGGCTTCCTCGCCGAACAGGCAGGGACCACAGCAGTGTCCGGTGAGTTAAGAAAGAACATATCAGCGCGCCGAGTTGAATTACAGTGAAAAAGAATGAAATTCTCGGATTGACTTGTAACTCTCAGTAGCTCGAAAATAACAAATTTGATTTTTTCAAAAACATTGTTATTTTTATTTGTTGTTAAAACAAAAAACCACATAATTGCTTTGCGTGTAATTGAAAAACATAAAATTTGTATAAATTTTATATTTTATTCAAATTGTAGATTTACATGTAGAATTTTATGTACAACTATGGAAGTTTTTAGTTTTCAAAATATATATTTTTTTTAATCATATTTTCTATTCTCTTTTTTTTTTTTACGTGTATAGAATTTGTATCATGCTCTTATCTATCATGCTCTTCTCTGAAATCTGCTTTTGACGGACGGCTTGAATTAACATTATTGCAATGCTTTAAATATGTAGGAATATTAATAATTTTGACGATGCAGTATTGACGCTTGTAATTCGTAACAGATGAGCAGTTTGTGGAGTAGACTGTCATTCGAATTTCATTCCAATTGGCTTTTGCGCAGCAATAGTTTGCGATTGCTCAGTATACGTCGCAAATGTCCGTGCAATTATCAATCACAGATGCGTCTAGCTGGTATGACAATCTATCTATAGATTTTATTCTAAAATTTATATGTGTGTAATTTATATCTATATAGATTTTATTCTAAAATTACAATACGTTTTCTCGAACGGGGAGACGTTTTCTCTCGACAATAAATTTTGCTTTAAACTGAAGTAAAAAGAAAAAAAACTCAACTTTCGCAATTTTCAACAGAGAATATGAGCTATCTCTTACACGGCAGACAAAAGCTGTTATTTATTATTAATAATCCGTTCTACGTACACACTATGTGTGCGCGAGCTCATTTTGCATTTTAATCAAATTACTCAAATAGCCTTAATTATACCTCTACACGCCGCGAACATTATTTTTGAATATTCTCATGTGTATGTGCACATTATGTGTGCGTATGTGTGTGTGTGTGTGTGTACACTCACGGTTTGTTTGAATTACGCGTGTGCATAACGCAACTACGGTTTTGACGAACGCGTCTTTTTTGTTGCTGCGTTTTAATTAAATCCGGAATCACTCGCGCGTTTAAATAATGAAAACGTACTCCGCGCTCTTACACGGAGACTGACATTAGGTAATTGTCTCTGCCAATTGATTAAAAGTTTGCCGACATGAACTACTGATATACGCGAATTGAAAGTTGGTCGGACTCAAACTAAAAATTTTTACTGTTCTTTAATTACTTGCGCCGCTCTTCATTTAGTTGCGTATCAAAATTTTACTTTTTTTTTTTTTTTTGCTTTGTAAAATGAATCACCGTAATATTTTATTGAAAGGCTCTTCGAACTTTTTTTTTTTTTTTATTCTGCTCTATTTTTAACAGTCGGTCTGCTCTCGAGGGCAAGCAACGACAAAGAGCATTTTCACGGGGAAGAACGAGGCGACGGTTCGTTAGCGACCGATCGAGTTAGACGACCACGATCGATGACCACGGGGGTGTGCTCGAAAACCGTAGCGCGAGGCCGCAAAATTCGTGCTAACCCGCCTCATTCTAACCCCCGCGTGCATCTCTGCTCCTCCTCTCCTTCCCGTTCTCGTCCCATTCGCCTGCGGCTGGAACGAGTCGAAATGGCGCCATCGAACGCTAACGACGCTGACCCACTTTCGGCTCCGCGCCGGCGCGCTTGTTGCGGACAACCACTACGCGCGGGGATGCACTCGCATCCGTGACGTGCAATCCAGACGAGTTCTCGCACACACACGGCATTTTTACGATCGCCCTTCGTACTCTATCCGACTCGTGTAAAAAGTGCTCTCACGCAGTTTATTTTTTATGCTATTTTTCTTCTCAATTTCAAGCGCAGCAGATTGGACGTCGACGCGAGGTCCTTTTCCAGAGTGTTCGTCGCTACATCGTCATTCACGATAGAAAATTGATCGAAAGTGAAAAAATAATCTCGGACATACATATTATTTTTCTTGCACATTCTTTTTTCTTGTTTTGAGAAATCGTATCCCTTTTACACAACTGCAAATTCTGATTATGAAGCGTACCTCTCTTGATGTAAGTACATATATGTCACCGCGGTGACACACGTCGCCGTGTGTGTTCTTGCAAATTTCCCGCGCGCGTCGGGACTCGTACGAACACGTCGCCACTGAACCAAAAATAGACTCTAATCCGCTGACGTAGGATTTTGACGTGACTGCAATTTATTTTCACGCCGCGCGAAATGGCAGCGCGTGTTAGCCTTGATTTCAGCGCGCGGGCTCAATTTCCTTCTTCCTCGACCCTCTCGTGACCTACATTAAGACGCGACGACCGGGCGCTAAAGTGCCGGGTGGTTGTCGGCGCTGTTTATACACGCGGTACACGCGCGCGTGCAAGCCGTGTTCCGCGTGTGCGCGTGTGTATGTGTGTGTCTGTGTGCGGAAAGGCTGTTGAATATTCAGGCGGCGCGAGCCTCGAGCAGGGCAGAGCAAACACGGCGTCCCCGTTGATGTTACACGCGAAACCCGCTCCGTCGTTCTGTGCACTCGACCGATTTAGGCGTGCCTCGTGGCCGTATTTGGAAGCTAACCCTTTCAGAGTCCGCCACCTTTGCTGATTGATCCGCTTTTCATACAGCGCGTAATCCACACCGCCTCAAAGCTTTCTAAGGAAAAGCAATCGCCCCCCGTGTTCCTTAACACCCGTTCCTTAACGCCCGGTAGAAATCGGATTTGGTCTCCTACATTAAATCATTAGATTTGTGCGATATAACTTGTCACTCTAGTATATATAATCTTGCACATAAATTTTACGTCAAAGTTGTCTTATTTAGACAAAGAAAAACCATCATCCACAAAAAGGGAAACTTATCCGTCACTTCTTATCAGAAATTGACATGTTTTTTACGGTACGTTTGATTCCAAATCTTATTCGCTCGATGTATTCGATTTTCAAATACACACACATACAAGGCCTGAAAAAAGTTAAAGTTTAATGCGAATCGCGGAAAGTATATTCTCGATATTAGTATATCTATATATGGAAAAAGATATTTCCATTCAGACCTCACTCTTCGCATCGATTCTTTACCTCTGTTTCCTTCGTTGTCGTTTTTTAATAAAGAATCATGCGGTAGCTCCCTCTTCCCCTTTCTCGTTTACGTTAGCAGTCCTTGTTGCACGCGACTGTTGCTCTTTTATCCTCGCCACTTGTTCTCCTTCATCTCCGCTATTTCCTCTTTCATCCTCTTTGACTCGTCGTCGTCTCATCGCTCCGTCTCGCTCTTTCTTCCGCTTGAACCCCGACGGCGAAGAGCAACCCCTCGTTCTCGTGTGCCTTGTTACGTAATTAAATGACGGTCCGCCTGACTTGTTGACAAGCCTTGTCGATGTATCGAGTTAGCGACGAATTAAGCCCGTCCGCCTCGGCTCGATTATGGCTCTCGGATATCGGCGCGATCCAAAGAGGGTGGCACTCAAGAGAGAAGGTGACAGAGAGAGAGAGAGAGGGAGAGAGAGAGAGAAAGAGGAGAGGAGAAAGAGAGAGAGAGAGAGAGGGATAGTGAGAGCGACCTTTGCAGCAGCACAACGTCCGACGTGACGCTCGGCTGTCTCGCCGGAAATTGATCGTTATTCATTACAGGACGCTCGTGGAATTTTCCTCGTCACGGCGAGCTCTGTACCCGCTATAATTTATGCGCCAATTATCGCGCACGGTCACATTATGCGCGAGACGGTCGATTAATGCCGCGCGACGCGAGATAAAGTTTTTTAATGCACCCTTATGATCGCTCGCGATGCATCAACGATTTCCATTTACCTTCCCTTCCCTCCCTCGCCTTCCCTCGCGCGTGTGACACGACCAGGCCATCTCTCTCATAGAGATGTGCCATTACATATCTACACTCTCGATACGATATATCGGTGCTAATTAATAATTCAAACTCAACATGTTCGAGCATTTTATATAGCTTGTGTGTAACTACACAGCTGATTGCGTATATGATGATATTGAAAGTTTGAAAATCTGCGGGATGGGGAAGAATAATGCATGCGATTGTTAATCGTTCTGCTGCCGCTGCTGCTAGTAACGTTTTATGCTTAACCGGTTAACTGGCACGGCTTTTTTTACTATTCATGCCCGAACTGGCACCATCGAAAAATTAAGTGAATCCCACAAGATTTGGTATACAAGGGTTTTTTGAGTCGCCGAATCGATTCCGGGGGTTATTTTGTTGATCTGACACTCCCC